TCCTTCCTTCCTTCCTTCCTTCCTTCCTTCCTTCCTTCCTTCCTTCCTTCCTTCCGTGTGCTTTAGTATCTTTTCCCATCTCATTTCAACTTAAAACAGGTAGCAACTCCTTTCCTTCCCTCCTAGAAATCCTTATCAGTTATTTCTCCTGTTTCCCCCCCACCTCTGACATCTCAAGTGGTATAGGCCTCTCGGGGTGCCGCCCTTTTCTTTGGTGGCAGCTGAGCTCCCAGTGGGGCCGCCCACATTACTCGAGGCCTGGCTGGGCTGTACCCCTTCAGTTGTCGGCGAGAGAGGCCCGTCTGGGATGCTTTCCCATCATACCACCCGAAGCTGAAAAAACACGGTCACAGCTAGTGTTCGGAGGCTGCGTTTCCTTCCCTGCAGCCCGGAAGGGTGGGCTCCGCTGCTCCCCCCCCCCCCACATACACATTTTCCTCTTCCAGAGTGATAGGCCAGATTTAAAAATGAAAGGCAACGCGTTTAAATAACAAAGAAGTGGGATGCTAGAAGATACAGTCCCATGAAGATTGGCGATGCGATGCGGGAAGTGGCTGAGGAGTCCAGCCTCATCCATCCAAGGGCTGTGGTTTCCTACCCTGAGCTTAGCAGGTTGGGGGGAGAGGGGTAGAAGATGGGAACAGCTCCTTCCTCCCCCCACAAAGGGGCGTGTTGTACCCGCCCGCGTGGCTGTCCCCCTTTGTGATTTTTTCCCTCCCTCCCCACTCCAGGGCGTGCCGTTGGACACCAGCAAGCTCCCTGCAGACCAAAGGCTTCCCCCCTACCCGTACAGCCAGCCAGGTTTGCTCCTGCAGCCGAGCCAGAAGACCCAGCACCAGGTGCCCGGGGGGGTCTCTCCCTCTCCGCAAACACGCCAGCTGTCTCAGCCGCCCTGTCCCTACCCGGGGCATTACCAGCCCAATTCTATGCTCCAGCACCAGCTAGGCCAGCAGCTGGGTGACTTCGGCTTCAGCAATGTGAGTTTCGCACCCCCCTCCCCTTGATTTCCTAGGATCTGTGCTAAAGCGTTTTGGGCGGAGGCAGGAAGCCCTCCAGTGATGGGGAATATACTATTTCTCCCCCGCAGTTCGACCAGTACAGCTTTGTCGACAACATGACGGGAGGTTTTGCCTTCAACAGCAACGCCTTCTCGGAAGACGTGGGTGCCTTAAATTACTCCCAGAGTGACAATGTGGGTCCGCCAGGGGGCGGAGGGGGCAGCAACAGCGCCGGCACTGCCACGAACGACCCCCACTTACTCACTCGTCAGAACCTGAGTAACTGCAGTCGTCACGGTCCCATTCCTAACATTATTCTCACAGGTAATAGGTGCCGGCTGTTTTGGGGGGGGTGCTTGGGTGGACAGTCGGGCTTCAGCTGAGGGTGCACGGAAGTCACGGCCTTCGGTTTAAACTAGTAGCCTGCTGCGGTTGGCTTCCAAATCGAACGGGCGAGATCTCCACCGGCAAAAAGATCAAGCGGGATGTCAGCACCTTCTGCCCCCAGCCCTTCGGGGTTAGTTGAACCGTGCCCTCTATGGGCAAAGGCAGTCCCTCTGTCCGGGCTTTTGTCCCACCTCCGGTTGTTCAGCTGTCGACCTCCCTCCGCAGGGGATTCTCCGCCTGGTATCTCCAAAGAAATCGCCAGCGTCCTCGCGAGCATGCCTGGCTTTGAAATGGACTCGGCCTCCCTGGGTCTGGACGAGGATCTGAAGATCGAGCCGCTGAGCTTGGATGGACTCAATATGCTGAGCGACCCATACGTCCTGCTGACCGACCCGTCCGTCGAAGACTCCTTCCGCACCGACCGGCTCCAGTGAACAGAAGGGGGGGCCGAGAGCACCGCCCGGCGGGGACAGCGGGACCCTTGCGAGCCGTGGAGAATCAAAAGGGCCGGTCCGCGCTCCCAACCCTCAGGGACCCGATCAAGACGGAGCGGACATTTCGCGCTTGGCTTCCTCCCTGTTTCCCAAACGCTGCGTCCCTCTTGGGAGACCTCTCTAGCTTCAGTAGCTTGAACGCTCCCACACTTCGCCAAGAGGCAGGGCGGGCCCCGGGTTTCAAGGGACTGGAGGAGGGGCGGTGGGCCGGCTGCCCCTCCACACCCATCAGCAGAGGCGGCTCAGAGAGGCCGGGGTGGGGTGGGATGGGCGAGCAGTAGTGGCGAGGGAGGAGTACCTTCCCAGAGGTATCCGGGTTGGGCAAGATAGGGGAGTCACTTCCTGAACCCCTTGAACTAAGGAAGGGGGTAATGTGGATGGATCTCGGCCATCTTTCGCCCCCGTGTTTCTTCCTGTGTATCTTTACCTTGCAAGATGGCACTCGGAGGGAGGAGAAGAGGGAATGATAACATTTTCGTTTGTTTTTTTTTCCCCTTGATTTTTCTTGCCTAATCATGCTGCTGCTTTTTCTCCCTTTTTTTTTTTTTAAAAAAAAAAGACAATTCTGTACGTAACCCTTCTCGTTCTCCTTTTCCTCCCCTCTCTCTCTCAAACTGCCGTGTATTTCATCCTGGGGAGACGAAGGAGAATAGTTTCTAGTTAAGGCACTTCTAACTTTGCATTCTTATCCGTCCGGAAGATCAAGACCAGCAGCTGAGCTTCGATAGAGCGCCGGGGAGGGAGGGGAGGGGGCTGGTTGGAAGACCCCAGGCTGGGTTGGGCACTGACCTTGCTTGCCATCTTTTCCCACTTCCCTCCCCCCCTCCCCGCAAGGGAGGAGGAGATGAACCAGAGTGATTTTATTATTATTTTTTAAATACATGTGAATTATCATGACGTCCTCGTGTGTGGTTTGGGCAGAGCTGGGGAAGGGCAACTGCTTTCATTTTTAGAGGCTTCTGAAATGTTTCCCCCCATCCTCGCAGACCAGCTTCAGAGGCGCAATTAGGCTGGGGGGGGGCGTTTTTCAGCCTGATGTCCCTGGTGAAAAACCCACTAAGATGGGAGTGGTTCTCTCTCCCCCACCCTCCCTAGCCCCCCTCTCCTTTTGTCCACAGCATCCGATAATCAGATATACTGATAGTAAGGCAGTTGTTACAAGTACACCTCTGGGCAGAATTGTCTTCCAATTTGCAGTCCTATGTACAGACCAGAATGACAAGAACAAGAGTGTGGAGTGTGTGCCGGCCAGCCAACCACTGCCCTTTTTCTTGGCTACTCCATTCCGTCCATCTCGTCTTCACAGCAAATCAGCTTTCGGCCACTCTTGAGGAAGGTCAGTTCTCCCTTTCGAGGTGAAGTGGTAGTATTCCCCACCCCCCAAGATGTCTCCAAATTTGGGGTTCCCTCCTAATGAGCGATGCTAGTTTGAGGATCCCGAGTTGGCTCCATAGAGGCGTGCGATATGCAGGGGTGCCACTGAGCACACAGCAAGCTTGGCTGAGGAGCAGCGACTCAACCTAGGTTCTGCAGGCTTCCCTACGTTTACTTGCCCCTGGTAAGGGCAGGCAGGGTGGTTTCGCTTATAATTTACTTCCCGATAGCGCTCCCCAGCTCTAAAACAGGATTTCCAGCTGTTTCGAAAGAGATCTCCTTGCCCTGGAAGAGGAAGACAGGTGGCGTCTGCCGTAGCACTTCCTTTCCTCAGGGGCAATTTGTCGTACCGTCTCCGTGTGAGAAGAGGGGTTGTGGCATCGCATGAAACCGTGGTTCGCTTGATTGGAGTGATTGAGTCAACTCCGGTTGGAATCACACCACAGGGGAAGCCAGCTATCCTGGCCTGGTCTGTGTGGCCTGCCTAGCCCCCAGCCTGACACATATTAGTCTTGATGGGACTGGCTCTGGTTTTTAGGGAGCGGAGGTGGGTTTCAGAGCTCATTTTATCCATGATCTGGCAAACATTGAAGGAGATCTGCATGGGCGTATCGAGATATGTTTCTTCCAGAGCACCGCCAAACCCACGCCAGATGTATCTCGGCTCTGACCCCAGAAACCCTCAGCTTCACCAAGCTGTGTCCCCCTCCACCGATCCACAGGCATTCTCATTTTGCAAGAGCACAAAACTTCACTTGTGGACAAGGAGGCCGTGGGCGAGAATTGGGAACGGTGGTGCCAGCCTCCGAGAGTGCCTGAAGCACAGCTTTGACCCTGCCAGGTGCCCAGAAACCTTTTTGCCAGCTCGCTGAAACGCTGCTTCTGTGCAAGGGCAGGACGCAAGGCTGGCACCCTGCAACGAAGACAGGTTGAATCTCGAACCCGCTCGCTCAGAGCTGAGTCACCCTCTTAGGATCCGCGTTAGACCAGCGGCCTCCGTTAGCAAACCCCGAGACGGTTTGAACTCCGGAGGGTCTCCTATTTCTCACCACGTTATCGACCTGAACCGCTCGCATCCCGCATTTCTTCCAAAAATTATACAGAAGAAAGCAATTGGGGGGGGGTTGCCTTTCCCATCCTTCCTTTCTTCGCACCAAGGAGATGGCAAGGGCGGGGTGGGGGAAATCGGTTTCCTGGGACTGTTTTGATGCTTTTCTGGAGGAATCGCCCGTTTCCGAAAGAGAAGACAAAAGACAGAAAGCCAGCCAAACTTTGGAAAAACTTTTTTTGTTGTTGTTCTACAGTGGGTACCAACCCATTCTCTGAAGGGGCTGGTTTTATTTCAGCCGCCGCTTCCCATCAGTCCAGCCTACTGGCTCAAAGCTTCATTGTAAATCATGGCCAAGGCACCCAGGAAGGTGACGTATTCTTGAAAGTTGATGACCTGGTCTTTGTTACGGTCCAAGTCCTCCATCAGTCCTTGGATTTCGGCTTCTTTGAGTTTCTAGAGTGGAAACGAGAAGACAAAATAAATGAACGCTGAGGCTTCAAAGGTGGGGAGGGCGTGGAAAACTACGGCCAAGGGGTGGCTTTCGCGAGGGAGGGCAGATGCCAGAAGAGTCGGCGTTGCTCGAGTCAAGTTGCTAGTCCTCATGGCCCTAAAAATACTTCCCCTGTTCTTGCACTTACCGGGCCGATGGTCAGCTCTTTCTGAATCAGTTCCTTCAACTCTTTCTTGCTTAGGGTGTTTTTGTCGCCTTCCTTGCACGAGTATTTGTGGAAAGTGACCACCAGGAGGCCGATTGCTTGATCCAGAGGGCAGGCCATTGTTGGAGATCAAAACCGGAAAAGGATCTGGGGGGGAGGGAAAAAGTCAAATCTATCATCTGTCCTCCATTCAGGTGTCAGCAATGGGCAAAGAAACATCTTTCCCGTTTTTCCTTTTCAACTCTTCCCTGCAGTGAACGACCTTTCGTTCGTTCGTTCTTTAAGGAGGGTTTCGAATTCAGTTCTAGACAATTCTGATTTTTAAAATTTTTTCTTTAAAGATGGGATCGCTTCAAACCATCCCGTCGATTCTAACCTGTCGCCCTAAATGGGGAAAGGAAACTCTTAAGGTTGCCCCATCCCGTTTTAAACGAAGCAGGATCGCTTTGATCCGGCCGCCAGGAAAGACGGGCTGACTTGATCCGTGCCCAAAGCAGGTCCGAGGGGAGATTTTTCTTCCCCAGGGATGGGAGTTGAAGACAAAGGATTCCAGGCCTCGTAATCGGGGTCCGCCCTTCTGCTGGGTCATCCCGAATTTCTTCCTTCCCCCCTCCAGGGGGGAAGCCTGGGCTTCAAAGAGGCCTTTGAAGTGGTTTCAAAGGCTGTGATTTATTTAATGATGATGCGGGTGCGTCAAAGGGTATCGAAGCGAAGGTGCATCTTTCAAACTGGGCTGGGCTCCAGCTCCCCACCCGAAAAAGCTGCCTCCTCTGCCTTTTCCTCCAGTCTAGGGAGCTCTCTCTGTTTTCCCTTGGAGCCCCTTTGGCCAGGAACAGCCTATCTTAAGTCCCCGCCCACCTTCCCTTTCCTCTCTCCTGACAATTCACTTTTCCCACAGTGCCTTCCATGACCCGTTGAGTCCTTGCTCGGCTTCCTCCCCACTGAGCCTTCTGGTGTTTTTCTCCTCCCTGTCAGATCAGCATTTACGGGACTCCCAAAGGCTGTTTAGTTGAACCCCGCTTCATTGGAAGAGCTAACCGGAGAATTCCTGCTTGCCTGATACACACGATCCACCCCTCGTGTAACACCAACAGGAAAGAAGCCGGGTTAGTTTTCTGTAGCGGATTAAAAGGAGATGGTGCTATCTCCTTTTCGCTCGTGCAAAGGGGGAAGCGTCGGGGGGCTAAGGAAGAACCCAATCCTGTTCACCGCATCCTCGATTCTTGCAAGATTGAACAGCTATCTACCGGAACGATTTCACAGCCGAAATGCAAACCGACCAACCAGCATTTGTTGGCGCAAAGCGCAGAGCGTTCTTGGCGCCCTGTTTGTGAGCAAGACGCGTCCCTTTTGGCCTTGCTCGGGGAGATGGGACCCAGGATTTCGGAGGCTTCGAATCCCCTCCCGAAAAGACCCCCCCCCCAGAAAGAAACCCCTGCAAAGATTTCCTGCTCGGCAGATCAATCTGCCAATTGCAAACTTTTCTGCAGGAGGTTCATTAACTGTCGCTTCCCTCTGGAGCACAGAATCTCTTTCCCTGCATATATATTTTTTTTTTCCTAACCTCCTTTCCCTCTCGCAATCTCACATTTGAGAAGCCCCGGGCCTAATTTAAGCCGCGATTCGCTGGCGACGCCACAAACGGTGCCGTCATGGATGGCGCCGAGCCATCAAACCTGTCTTGCAAACCGTGACGTCTGAATTCACGCGACGTGCTCACCACGCGAACGCTCAGGGCAATGCAGAAACCTGGCTGGTGTTTCTAGTCTCCAAGGGGCACCAGAAAAATAACAGAAAATCCATTTCTCTCTCGGCAATCGCCTCCCCCAGCCTGTGTCGGGTCAGACATGATCAAGGGGAACCATCTGCAGGTTGGGGCCCCTCAAAGGAAATACGGTTTTTCAATGGACCCCCTCGCGGGGAGTTTTCCTCTCTAAGGTTGGCCGGGGACGTTCCTGCTCGTTGCACGGATGCTGAACAAAGGGAGGAAAAATGACACGGAGGAAAAGACGGAGCGCGGCGTCTTCATCCAGAGCTGTTTGAAGTTGGCACCCTTCCTTGGTTCCTCGGCCTCGCTCGGCGGTGCGGCGAGAAGCGTTGGAAGCGAAAGAGAAACAGGACCCCGTGCTATCATTTTTATTTTTATTTTTACCCAAAAGACAAGCCGCAGCCCCTTCTCTCCCCAGATTGTGACTCTCAGTGTGCTACCGGCCTTTTCCACCAGGTGACGCAAGGGAATTTGGCCTTCGTCCTTGGAAAGTTAACTTTGCAGGCAAGCTGTGTGTGTGTGTGCGTGTGTGTGTGCGGGGGGGGGGGTGTAGGGGGGCGGGGACACCCGCCCCACCCTTTGCGTGCCTTTTATCCCCACCGCCCCCACAAAACGAGTTTGGGGCGCCCTGGCCAGGTCGCGGGGAAGACTGAGTGGGTCTCTGGTCAGGCCCCACCAGGGAGTGGCTTGGGTGGGGCGGACACGGTGGCCCCCTCGCGTCCAGTGGCACAGCCCCAGTGGAAAAACCCCACGCCGGAGATGGGTGGCAAAGCTTCCTGTGGCAAAGGAGGGAGACTTTTCTTCCCTGCAGGAAGAGACCTGATTATTATTCTGATTGATTTAAATTTATTGGCTGCCCAACTCCGGGGGACTCGGCCGCGAGCCTGGCGGTGATGCGCTCTGCATGCGCTCCAGGAACAAGGAGGCAGGAACTGAGGAATGACCCTCCAAGGTCTTGTGCCCCCGAAACCAAATTCATGCCTCATGCCGTTTCTTCCTTTCCTTGGAAAGGTCCCCCTGCCTTGGAAAAAGGGCCCATTCTCGTTTGGCAAATACCTTACCTTTTGAAAGAAACTTTTTCTCTGGGGTGGGGAGGAAGGC